CATTCTGAGGAGAGGGGGTGGAGGCCCAGGCTTTTTGGAAGAACGGATCAAAGTCAGGTGCAATGCTGCAAGCCTCTAATTTCACCACTAGGGAAGCTGAGGCAGGATGACTGAGTTCTCAGTCAGCCTGGGCTATACAGGGAGACCCTGTGTCCTAGTTTGTTACTGTGGCTGTGATAAAATATCCTGACAAAAAGCAATTTAGGGAAGAAAGGGTTTATTTTAGCTCACAATTCTGGGTTACAGCTCATCACTGCAGAGAAGTCATGGTGGGAACTTGAAACAACTGCTCACATCACAGCCACAGCCACAGCCACGAGCAGAGAGAGATGCATGGCACGTGCCTAGTGCTCAGTTGGCTCTACTCTGTACAGCCCAGGGCCTAAAACCACAGAAGAGTGTCACCCATAAAGGCTGGGTCTTCCCACCTGTAGTTAAAGTAATCAAGACAACTCCATAAACGCACTCAACCCCAACCTGTTCTGGACAGTCCCTCTATAAGCCTCTTCCTGCCTGGTTCAAGGGCATGTCAAGGTGACAGAACTGCCCATCACACATTATCTCACACAAGACAGGAAGCTCAGAGAGGCAGGAGGCCGGGCAGGGAGCAAGGCCCAGGAAGTGAGCCCATTCTCCGCCTCCACGGGAGGGGTACACTCCTTCCCCTAAGTCCTTCCCCCAGCTTTCTTGAACTGCAGGAGCAGAGGGGAGTCATTTCTAGAACCTTCTCTCACCGGGCACTGTTACCCTCTAGGCTGAGGGAGGTGGCCCATCAGGATGGGGACAGGGATTGTCCAAGGCTTTAATTTCTTCCCATCGCTGTATGTGGCAGCAGAGGATGGTCCTTGAGGCCCAGTCCAGCCTAGTCACCAAGTTCTCCACCTTTTTCCACAGCAAGTAATGGCAATGCCACGTGCCAAGCTCCCTGGGGCCTCTCCTCAGTTCCTGGGTGTGTTATTCCAGCCGGCCGGCCAGGCAGGGCTGGGGAAGTTGCAGGAAGAGTCTGATTTGCATACTCGGGCTCCTCCCCCACCCCTTAGTAGGGGCACAGTTGCCATAGCAACTGGCCCCAAAAGCTTCTCTCTGCAGTCTCCTCTTCCTTGCAGGGCTGGAATTCTAGCTGCTTACTCAGCTCTGAGAACTCCGAACTCAATTCCTCATCTTAAGGATGAAAGAAACAGACCCAGAGAGGGAAAGCAACTTGCCCAAGGGCACACAGCAAAATAGGTGCCAGAGCTGGATTCCAGGTCTCCTGATTCCCAGTGTAAAGTGTGTGTGGGGGGGGGCTCTGAACTGGAGGTTGGAGCTGTGGTACCTGTGCCCTCCATGGGCCTCCTGGGGGTCCTAGGGAAGGAGTGCCCTTGGGATGTCCTTTGAAAACATACCTGTCCCCTATCCCTCACCATCACGTGCCTGGTATCTTCCTGATTCACTCTAGCACTGTTACTAAGTGATCAAGGCACCAAAACCAGAGTTTGAGAAGACATTTTGGAGGTGGGAAAGTCTGATTTCACATGGCCCTAAAGGGGTGTCCACTGCCACTCAAAAGCACCAATTAATGATGGAAAGACATTCCTTGCTGAGTAAAGACAGCCATTACCACATAGAGAGAGCAAGCCCCGAGAGCAGCCAGCAGACCCCCTTCCTGGGAGCAGAGTTGTGTTTAACTTTTTATTATGGAAATTTCCCAACATCTGTAGAAAGAGAAGCTGTGTAAAGCACTCCGTGTGGCAGAAGTGCCCGCGAGTGGGCAGAGCACTGCCCTCTGCAGGCTGGAATGGAAACCAATTTTGCCAGGAAAGAGGAGAATGTGGCTGTGAGGCTACAGCAGGAAGTCCCTAGGGGAGGCCCCGGAAGTTCAGGGGGCTCCCAGGGGCAGCTGCACCCAGAAGTCAGGGAGGCCCCTGGTTGAGGGAACCCAGCCCTGGTTCCTGCCCCAACCCCGCCTCTCTCTGTTTCCTTTCCCCTTCTTTCCCCCCTTCACTTGCAATAAAAACATAATTACGGGCTTTGTAAGAAAAAAAAAAAAAGGCAAATTATGGTGACATGCTTTAATTATGTGCCAGCGATGGCGGACTGAATTCCACCGGCAGAGCCTTGAGGTTACCTAAAAATAAAGCAAGAAGGCTCATTAGATGCTAATTGCCACTTTTGCCAACTCCAGTGAGATCCTGGCATGTGTACCATTCGGCTCTGGGCTGTCTGGGGAACAGGGCTCAGGGATGCTGGGAGGGCTAGAGCTGAGCCATGGGGACTAGTCAGCCCATGGGGAAGGCCAGGGAACCAAGGGAGGGCCTCAGTCTCCCCTGTGTGCTCAGTGCGTATCTGAACCCCGGGATGGGGAAAACAGAGCTGTAGGGCCCCCTTGAGAACTCAGTAAGGCACTCAGACCTTCTTTGGACTGGGAACAAGAGCCCCCCAATCCCTGCAGATTTAGAGAGCTTCCTAGTCCCTTTGGTGGGCCTGAGGGCAGAGGTGGTGCCAGGGACAGCTGGTACAATGCTGACTGGGGTCCCCTATGGTTTGGTTCCATGCCCCCACCCCTCCATCCTCCTGAGGGTTTTTCAAATGCAGAACCATCTCTGGGACTTGAAGGAACTGGGACTGGAAGGAACTGGGACTCAGGATCCTCTGTTGCTTTTCCCCAGGTTCTGGGAGGTGTGCAAAGGTATCACTTGCTCACCTGGCAGTCCTTGACTTCAGCCCAGGCCCATAGCTGCATCCTCATCTCCTCCACTATGCTTCCAGGAGATGGGTGCAGAGTCCAGGTCCACCTTCTCATGCAGCTGGGCAGCCCTGAGTTGCTGCTGCCTCAGGGAAACAGACCCACCCCCACTCCTCCCCACCCACACCCTGTATTCAGGGGCTCAGAACAAGCTCAAAGCTTCCCTGCTTGACCCATTGCATAGTGGTCACTGCTTCTCTATGGGACCAGCAGCATTTCAGTCAGTATGGCCTCCTGAGGACAGCTCCCCATCATGCCAGAAGCCACCTGAGGGTGGGCTGTCGGTGGGCTGCTGGATGCTGTCAGCCTGTGTCCACTGTGGGAGACCTGGGGGCTGACCTCAGCCCTTTCTCAGCCTCCCACTCTCCCCTCCTGAGTGTGAGGGGAGCAGAGGCGCCCCCACTGGGAGGTGATTTCACCCCGGCCCCTGGATGAGGTTCCCACACATAGTAGGAGTGGGCTGAGTAGGGCCAGGCCCTCTACCTACCTAGTCTTGAGCAGGGGAGGGGCAGGACACCCAGGCTGGGGTGCTGCAATAATCCCCTGGAGGAGATACTGCACCCCCTTCCAGTGTGCTTGCGCGCACACACACACACACACACACACACACACGCACGCATGCACATGCACACACACACACACACACACACACACACACACACACGAGCGCACGCCCGTAACCTGGGAGCTGCCAGGAAATGCCTGTGATCTGGTCTCTGGCTTTGCCTGACTGGGCCTAGTGCTGGGTAGAAAATACTCTGGGAGGTCTATGGACCATCTTACCAGACAGGGAGAGTGAGCCCTCCTCTTCTTCCTTCCCAACTGTGCTTCTTAGCACATACTGAGCATCCCACATAGATCTGATGGTGGGGGGTGTCTGAGCACAGCTGGCCCCCAAGAGGAAGAGCTGGGTCAGGTTCTAACCCTACACTCAGTCCCTGCTGCCTCCCTGCCCTGTCCCTCTGTCCCTCGGCTACCATGTTCTACACCTGTCATCTAGCTGTGGGGTGAGAGGACTAAGGAGGGGGTGGCATGGAGAATTGGGGTCCCACTGTCGGTTGTGACCCTATTGTGTCACTAACTTCATAATTTTCCCCTGGCAGAGCACAGCCCCTGAACCATACCCCCTGCTGACCTCTCAACCTGCCAAGGGAGCCAGCTGCCACCAGCACAGGCTTGCACACCTCCCTCACACACGTGCCACCAACCTGGAATGGGTGTCCTCAAGACATGGGTGTGCTGTGGACAGACACTCACGGTGCACTAGACAGACAGGTAAACACGCACACAATAAACACACGTATACAGAGGAGACAGATGCAGCCATAACAGACAGGCTGGCAGACCTGCAGGGAGCCACAACCCCACATGCCAACACATGGGTCCTCGGGACACCTTAGCACCTAGAGGTAGGACGAACAAGATAGGGGCCTGAGCACGCTGGAGGCCCAGGGCCAACTTCTGCAGAGGGACCCCCTTGGCTAGAGGGAAAGTTTTGTTAAAGGGGCAGGATCCAGGAAGAAATGTTAACAACAGAGTACCCCTTTGACTAGGAGGTGATTTTTTAAAAAGATTTATGTTGTTTTAAATTGTGTGTGTTTGTGCACGCATGTGAACCTGTAAGTGCAGGTACCTGAGGATTCCAGAAAAGGGTGTAAGATCTTCTGGAGCTAGTTACAGGGAGTCAAGAGCCGCCTGACATGGCTACTGGGAACCAAATAGGGGTTCCTCTGCAAGAATAGTGCACAGTCTTAACCGCTGAGCCATCTCTCCAACCCCAGCTGCTTTCTAGAATGCTCTGCAGTGTCTCTTCCCCCTCCAGGTCCAAGGCCACCACAGAGCCTGGTCCCAGCAGGGTTCTGCAGTGCCCAGCCCTTCTGCTCCCTCGGGACGCCAGGCCATCGGCTAAGGCTGAGCATGCGGGCCTGCAGCAAACCTTCAATAGACACAAAGGCTAACTGCAAAACCATGTGTTTATCTTTATTAGAAATGTTCTTGGTATAAAAACAGTCATGCTACACGTCATCAATAACCATCACCAGACACCCAGGCACTGAACTCCGTGTCATCGGCAGGTAGGGGCAGGCGGGCAGGCGGGCAGGACACACAGCAGACGGGCGGGCAGGAAGGGCGAGCAGGCTGCAGGCCACGGGGACACACAGAGGCCACCAGGAGGACGCAGCACATTGCAACACACTCAAGATTTTTGTTTTGGCTTTTTTGTGTTTTGAATTTTTTTTTTTTTTTTTTTTTTTTTTTTTTTTCATAGTTTTTATTTTTTTTTTTTTTTTTTTTTTTTTTTTTGTCTCTTTTGCAACATGGAAGATTTGGTGGATGGAGTTGTGGGGAGGGGGCCGGAGCAAAGGCTGGAAGAAACAAAGTCAACGGGAACAGGAAAGGAAAATGGGGCGGGGCTGGGACATCCAGATGGAAGCTGGAAGCATGACCAGGGTGGACGGGGGACGGCAGGAACAGAAATTAAAAATATAGAAATTGAGAACCCAAACAGACAGCACATGCAAAGGGAAAGACAGAACGCAAACACAGGTGGGGACTGACTGGGGCCGGCAACAAGACAGACAGACAGACAGGAGGAGGGAGGGAGAGAAGCCAGCGCTGGGCTCCCAAGAATGAGCCCCCATGTTTTGGACCAGGTGGGACACTGGTCCAGAAGGAAGGTCTGTGTGGTGGCCCAGAGATGCCCCGGCCCCTCAGCCTCCTCCTGTGGCCCACCTGGCTTGGTGACAGCCAGAGGCTCTACTGTCCTCAGCACCAAGCCATATCCGTGGGTGCCCACGGGCAGGCAGGATGTCAGCTGGGCCTTCAGGAACGGCCCCAGCCCGATGCATCATCCTCAGAGGTCATGGCTCCACCTGCTTGGCTGTGCAGCCCAGCTAGATTGCATGGTTGGTATAGGTGACGTAGGTCTGTTTGGTGACCAGTGCTAGAGAGCGAGAGAAAAAGAGACCAGGGGAACCAGGAGTCGGTGCTGCCTCTTCCAAGCCCTCTTTTCCCAGAGAACTGCACAGGGGCCCCCAGCCCAGACTCTAGAAAGGGGACCCCAACCAAGTGCTGGACCTGCCCTCCCCGCAAGCTGCTTCTCACACCATCCCCAGTCCCAGGTCCCACATGGGGTTCGTACCAGCACACCTTTGCCCAGGTGGGGCACTGCCTGGAGCACCCCTCCTCCCCCTGGTGTCACTCTAATGTGACCCCAGCCTTTGAGCACCCTCCAAGCCCCTTCACACCTCCTAACCCTATCACACCTTAAAATAGCTCTTTGGATACATGATATAATTAGAGGGTCTTAAAACATTCTCCAAGGGAATCTTTCAGAGGTTCAGCCAGACATTTGCAAAAGAACGGTGTCCTGGAAAAGGAGGTGGATCAGGACCAGAGGAAACAATGACAGCCAGAGAGGGCCCTTGCTGGTGAGCAGCTGAGGCACACGATAGGTTCCCACACTGCCCAAGGGAAGCCCAAGTCTCCTATCCCAGAGACCCTGGAGCATCAACTCTTCCCATTTCTGGTGGCTCATCCCCCTCAGTCTGGAGGCCTCTGCTCCTACGGCTCTGGCTCCACCTAGTATGGCACATCTGGTGTCCTCTCATTTCCTGGCCACAACCCCCCTGGGGACCTTTCCCTAGTAGCCCAGCTAGAGATGAAACTGGCTCTCAGACAATGTGAGGCTCCCCTGCCCCTCCAGGGTATAGCCCTCACAGCCCAGTAAAATGGAAGACAAGAGCCAGGTGTGGTGGTGCACACCTTTAATCTCAGTGCTCGGGAGGCAGAGGCTGGTGGATCTCTGTGAGTTCAAGACCAGCCTGGTCTACAAAGTGAATCCAGGCCAGCCGGGGCTACAGGGAGACCCTGTCTCAAAAAGACCAAAAAAAAAAAAAAAAATCAAAGAAGGGTTGTTCCCATCTGACAGAAATACCAAGACCAGATGCAATGAGGCTGGCTTGTCCTGCCAGGTTTGGAGGTGGCAGTGATGGGGTACCTGGGGTGGGAGGGGTTGTGCTGCTGGGGAAGGGAGGGGCTGGGGGAGGAAATCATGCTTCCCTGGTCTCAGAACTGCCTGGATGCCTGTAGCTCAGACAAGGAGGCACACATGTTGGACTGGCCAGGGACACACAGCCTGGAATAAAAGAGATGGGGTAGTGTAGGATGTGGGTCCACAGGTTCTCACCCCAGTTCTCTCCCCATCTTACACTGGGCACATGGCCACCAAGTTAAGGACTGTGTTTCCCGCCTCCCTTGCAGCTGAGTGGGATCTCCATGGTAAGAGTCTAAGAAAATCCAGGAAATGGATAGTGTGCAACTTTCAGCACAGTTTGATTAAAACAGTGTTTCCCCTGCACGTCCATCCTCTCTTTTCTCTTTCACAACAGCAGACGCTGGGGACAGCCAACCTCAACCCTCTGGGAGCCAGAGGAGTGACAAGATGGAAGGAACCTGGGCTGCTGCCTTGCTCCTGCCCAGCCATGTATTCTGATATGAGAGAGACAAACACCTGTCTGATTTGAGTCTCTCAGTTTTGTTTTGGAACCCTAGGTAGTGCAAGGACCAGAGTTCAGTTCAGCTAAAGAAAGAACTTTCTCCTGGCTAGAGCTGAGGGTGCAACTATTGGCCTTATAAGGTAGTGAGCTCCCTGTCCTTAGAAATATTCAAGCAGAGGATGAACAATCATTTGGCTGAACAGTGGCAGGGAAATTCCAGATGGATGTGTGCCTTAACATTCAAGAAGCAATAAGAACATCCAAGAAAAAATAAGAACAGCAATATATGAAGAATTCCTGCATCTCTCCATGGTGCTGCATAACCAGGAGGAATTCCAGGACTAGAGGACAGAACTGGACAAACTTGGGAGAGGAAGCTGGGACACAGGTATGCCATGTGGGAGCCTCGCAGAGTACCATTCTAGTTGGAGGGAGCCGCCTCCTCCCTGGGTGACATTCCTTCCTTCTCTAATGGGCCTCAGTTTCCCTGCCCATAGCAAGAGCAGACAAACCAAGTGGCCCTTTTTCCCTGTACTTCTTTTCCCAAGCGGCTGCTAATCCTGCCAAACACACACAAAACAGAGCTACAGTGGGAAGGCTCTGCTAGCAGTCAGGACTGCCCTGAGCCAGTTCCCCAGGCTCCACCACCCCCTGCAGAAACTGATAAAAACTTCATTTCCCAGCTCAGGGCTTGAGGTAGAAGGACACTTCACAGCAGTACCAGCTAAACCCCTGCAGGAGAACATGAGCCTGCGGCCCTGCCAGACACCAGGAGCTGTCAGCCAACAAGAAAGAACCCAGTGGTGAGGGACATCTGGGCCCTCTCCCACTGAGTCCAGAGCTGTTGGCTTCCTCTAAAATATCTGATTTACTTGTTCCAGAGCTTGGGGGGGTGGGGAGATTCAGCCATCAGTGGCAAGCCAGGGGGCCCCCCAAGCTCTTTATCAAAGCCTGTCTCACCATCTGGAAAATGGGAACAAAGACTCTCCTAACAGTGAGGCACAAAGGAAAGTCAGGCAGCAGCCAGGAGACCTGGGGCACCTGCTGCCCAGTGACCTACCAGCAAGTCAACCCTCCTCGACCTGGAGCAGTGGATCCCCTATGTGTAAACAGGATGGTGATAAACATAGTGACAGACTCTCAGGCCAAGGGAGAATGAAAACCCATTCAGCTGTAAGATGCTGGGCAGAGGTGCTCCTGAACCAAGGCCTGGGTAGGGACTGAATGCTCAAGAGTGGCCTCATAAGTGAAGGGACGAAGGGACAAAGGCGTGGCGGAGCCCTCCCCAGGGTTTTTCAGTCACCAGAGACTCAGATAGCAATTAGCCAAGCAGCTCAAGGCACAAGTTGACAATCGCCATTTGTTGCCCTGTGATCCTGAGCCAATCTGCCCGCAATCAGGGTTCTAAATTATTTATTCTGTTTGTTTAAAGATACATGGCTTGCACCTGACAGAGTGAAAAATGTCCCTGTTTCACGGAAGTGACACCTCCCCACACTCACACCCCCTCAGCTGGGTTGTCCCTGGAACTGATCATTTCATAGCCCTGTCACTGAGAGATGGGAGACAAGAGAAGCTGCCTCATAACAAAGGGGTACTGGGCCCACCTTCCTTTACAGGCATTGAGGACATGGCTTCCCATCCACCCCCATGCCTTCTCACCTGTTTGGTGACCTGCCTGAGCAGGGCAGAGGGGACAATATCAGTGGGGCCATCAGAAGGCCCTGCCCCTGTGCTTCCCTCTGGTCTGTCAGAACAGTAGTGTCACTCTCCTGAGTTACAGTGTTCCCTCCAGGAGGGGCTGATACATGCATGTGTAAGCATGTACATGTGTATATGTTTCTATGTGTGTGTGCATGTATGTTTCTGTATGTGTACATAGTATGTGCTTGTGTTTATGTGTGTACATGTGTATGCATGTGTGTGTGCATATATGTGCCTTTGTGTGCATATTCACTTGTATGTGGAGTGTGTGCTAAGCTGTTCCAGGCCCAGCACACAGGGCTCCAGAGGAACAGGGCTGGAGTGGGCCAGTATCTGTGGCAGGAGCAAGGGCCCAGGTTGGGCCAGAAATATGGATGCGGCACCGAGGATCCTGAACGTTCAGGTGGACATAGAGGCCAGGGGGGGCATCCTGTGAGGACTTCACGTGGTCCCTGAAGGAGCCTCAGGGTCAGGGGTTAGCTGGTTTTATGGGACAGGCAGGAACAGACAAAAGTAAGTTTGGGGTGCTCACTTTTCGAGCCAAGGCAGGGACATGTCAGAAGTCTCATATATTGCTTCACACACAGGATGAGGTCCCCAGAGACGGGAGGCTTCAGCACAGGGAAAGCCACCGTAGTGGCGCCAGCCAGCCACCATCCTGCTGGGTGATCTCAGGAGGAGCACTCACCTTTCTCTAGCACTCACCTTTCTCTCTCCCCAGCCAGCTTGTCCCTCCTGCCACCCACTGGCTCTGTGTCCTAAGTCCCCAGAGCTTGACCCTCCCTGTTGAGGCCTCCTGATAAGACCCTCAGAAAACACTGCTAGCTGGAGACCTCGACCTTTGAATATACCAAAGTCCCACCCCATCCGTCACCCACCTGTCCCTGGCTGGCCATGTCCTGGGTCTCCATCTCTCTGGCCCTGCTAGGGATAAAGGGACAAAACCAAAGGTCCCTCCCAGGTTACTCAAGGACCCAGGAGTAGGGTCTTTGAGGCAACCCCTTCTCCCAGACGATGGGGGATGTGGCCCAGGACAGGGAGATGCTGGGGTTTCATAGCACCCTGAAGGAACCAGTTGGGCAGGCATAGAAGGATGTGACCAGTCACAGGGAGCCTCTGAGGCTCTCTCAAGGCCACCAGGAGGGGCAGGACAGGATGGCTGCCCAGGACTGTCCCTACGGGACCCTTGGGCCAGTGCTCACCCATGGTCTCAAGTCTAGTGGCTCCCAGAGGCAGGCAGGAACCAGACCAGGCCAAGAAGGAGAAGGGTTGCTGTTCTGAGAGGGCAGGGCCTGGGGAGGAGAGGGGCAGGGCCAGACACTCACCTGGGGCCTCAAGGTTCTCACACAGCTCTGACTTGGCCTCCCCATTGGGCCGGAAGTTGCCCTTCTGCGTGAACTTGTTGGACATGGTAGCAGCGGTGACCACAGCTTTGAGACTGCGCTTGCGCTTGGACACGTTCTGCTCCGGGTGGAAGAGGATGATGTAGACTTTGGGCATGTAGAGCATTCCCAGGGACACTGAGGCGCTCAAACTCACCGAGACCGTCAGCGTGGTCGTCTGGATGTACAGCTGCAGTGAGTGGCCAGAGATGGGATCACAGCCTGCTGGCACCCACGCCCTCAGCTTTGCCCAATTCCTGCCTGCTCTGCCAGGCTCTACCCAGGCTCCTTTGCACTCTGCCCTAGCCTGGCCCTGCCCTGCTCCAGCTCCACCCCATTCCACCCTGGTTCCTCTGCACTCCAGCTCCATCTACTCACTCTGGCTCTGCCCCACTCTACCCAGGCCCCACGCACTCTGACCCAGCCCTGTCCACTTAGTCTTGGCAGGGCCCTGACTCTCTACCACTTGCCCAGGGACAGACCACCCTGCACCTGCTGCCTTCCAGCAGAGGGCAGTCAGGGTGTAGAGCCCGCACTTTAGAACTTCTGGACTTAAATTCCGTCGTGTGAACTTGGACGGGTCAATCCTTGTGCTTCCGTTTCTTATGTACAACACGGGCTTGGCAACCACAGCAGCCACCTCACAGGGCTATGGTGGGGTAGAGTTAATCGTGCTGAGTGTGGGGAGCATTGCCTGGTGTTTGTGTTCTTTGTGGAAGCCTGCAGAACACCCTACTATATTCTATCTGAAAAAAAAATGTCCCCAGGCATAGCTCTTGGGGACCAGCACTGACCTTCCCATGGACAATTTCTGCACAGGGCTGACTTCGAGCAGACATGCCACCACCCCTAGGACCAGGCCCCTCATCCCGTGACTGCCTACCACATGCCACCCCATGAGGAACAGGCCCTGGTAGGGACCCACGACACCCAGCGCAGGATGGTGGTGGCAGCAGAGCCGTCAAGGCGCATTTCACGCTCGCTCACCAGCACTAACAGTGACAGATGTTTAGCAAAATGAAAGCCCATTAATCTGGGTGTCGGATAATCCATTCTTCAATGGCGGAAGCCCTCCAAACAGAGCCAGCAATTCCCACCACCCTACCCAGGTTCCCTCCCATCTACTCCCTTCTGCCAGGTGATCCAGGCCCCAGGTGCCCCTTCTCAGCTAAGCTGAAGCCAGAAGACTCAAGTTGGGGCCCCAGGTCCTGGCATGAAGGAGGCAGGGCCCCAGGTCCTGGCATGAAGGAGGCAGGACGTGCCCTACCCTCATTCATTGGGCCTGAGCTCAGGTTTCTGCCAGCTTCCAGCTGCCCAAAGACATCCTTCACTTCCTGCTGCTAGCCCAGCACAGTGAGACATAGGTGTGCACTATCTTCTTGAGCTCACAGGAGCCCTAAGGGGGCAAGAACCCTTGACCCTGCCCCACAGTGGGCTGCTCAGCAAGTCTGCTTCCCTCTCTGGGTGTAGTGCCCCCAGTACTCATTAACACAGGGGAGAGTCGGCGGCATCTTGGACTTGTGTAATGTCTGCTCAGGTGCCCCGTGTGTGCGTTCACCTCAGCCTGGAAGTGGTGCCTAATGCTAAGCCTCGTCCCTGTGCTCTCCTTTCTTTAGCCCAGGAGCCTTTCTGAAGACACAAGGGAGTCAAGAGCAGCTCAGACTGGAGTAAAGCTGCCCTCCGGAGCTGCTGGAGCCCCTCCCCAGCAGCTTGGCCTGTGAACCCCCGAGGGGTAGGCAGAAGAGAGGCTGCTCTCCTTGCCCCAGGGCCCAGAGTTCCCACTCCATCCTGGAGCTGGCCTCTGGCTCCAATGCTATTTCTAGTGTCCCCTGAGTACATGTGGTCCTGGGAGGGTGGCAGGTGATACCTTCTAGAGAATCCCTGGTCCTCTAGAGTGCAGGTGACACCTGAATCAGGGATCTTAAAGCCAGCAGAGTGAAGGTCACCCTGCAGTATGATCTCACTGCCTAACCATCTCCCAGTCCTCTGGGGCCAGACCCACCGCCATTTTGCTCCTGGTATAGGTGGGCCCAGTCACACTGCAGCTTCTCTGTGGAATCCTGGCTGAAACCATGAGCCACAGGTTCCCCAGGGACAAGCAGGGCTTGACGGAGGATGGGTCACAGAGACAGCAGCTGTGTGCAAGGACCATGAGTTCTCTGTTTCTGTGCCAGGGCTGTGAGGGGGCCCTGGGCACCTGAGGAGCTCTGTCCACTTTAGGCTTCCACTCGGGCTGTCCTCCAGTGGGGACAGAGATGCTCAGAACCTGTACAAACTAATGAACTTCCCCATGCACAGGTGGCCAACTGCACAGCCACATCCTGTCCAAGACTGGCTGAGCAGTGATCTCACACAGAGGTGACCCACAGCAACACCTCAGGGCCGCAGTGTTAAGCTCTGGGAATCCCAGCTAACTCCAAGTTATTGCTGGCTCACTAGAGTGGGCCAGACAGCCTCACACTGCATCCAGGGGGCCATGCAGCTGAGCATACGGGTGCCTGGGCACAGAAACCTGGGCATCTGTGCATCTGCTTACACTTGTGCACAGTATTCATACATGTACCTGAACTCACACCTGGGTGCACACACACTTATCCATAGCCATGAACCCCTCAGCAACCCTCTCCTACCTACTAGGACTGATCATATGCACACACAGCCAATCCATTGCTGAGCATGCAAATGTGCCAAAGGGCGTGTACACACTCTTCTACACCCACACCCCAGAACCCAGCACAGCCCCGCCCTTTCACCTTCCCATGCAAGGCAGGCAGCCACACCCACAGCTTGCACTGGGGTACTCTAGTTTGCCGCAGCTCTGCACCCAAGCTGGAGTCTCTAAGGACCATGGTGTCCCAAGCCACAGGACTCAGAGCTCAACCTCTCTACTCCATTTGGAATCTGGGAGAACGGCTGGAGCTGGGTGGCATGGGTCATACGTTGGTGAGGCCAGTCTGTCACGTGGTCCTGGGCTCGTCCCTCTCTGGATTCTGAAGGGACCATATCAGCTGAGAGGGTGGGAGGGCTGGGCCTCACCATCTGGAGGCAGAAATAGACACCCTGAGAGAACAAGAGTCCCACCAGGGAGGGCTAGGAGCAGAGGAGAGCCCCAACACTGCATTGGAGGGGCTCTCAGCTACAGCCCAGACCCAGGGGAAGCACAAAATGGACCTCCTGGTGTGACCCCTCTCCAGGAGGCCAAAAGCAATTTCTCAAGCTGCCAGCTTCCTGGAGTGTGGAACCACCCATCCCAACAGAACCCCACAGGGGAGTGGGGCCTCTGCCTGCACCTGCCCTCAGCAAGGGGCCTCTTCAGGCCTGGTTGGGGGATTGCCGCATGGGAACTGAGCCAGGGGACTCTGGGCTCAGGCTGCAGAGCGGTGTCCCCTGGTCTCATGCTGCCCACCCTGTCTGCTCTTGTTCCCACTGCCCTTCTATACTTGCCCAGCTCACACCTCAACATATATACTATGTCCACACAACTGGAATGACTGAGAGGGAAGAAGCAGGGCCCCAATTTACTGATGAATAAACTGAGGCCAAAGAGAACAGCAAACCTGCCTAGGTCCCATTTAGACATGGAGCTCCAGCCAGGAGCCAGGTCCCTGGCCCACTGTGATGCTGGCATTCGGCTGAGTCCCTATCCACTGAGATAACTCATCTGTCACCAGGCCGGGGCTGACTGTGGAGGAGCAGAATCCACAGGACTACAAAGCCCCTCAGCACAGAGGCAGCACAGAGGCAGCACAGAGGCAGCCCCAGTCCAGGAGGGTGGGGCCCTTGACTGGCACTACCAACCAAGTCCTGGGCTCCTTAGGGCTGGGCAGAGAGGGAGCAAGCACCCTGATCATTTCACATCTTGGGCCCAGGAAAATGCTGGAAGGGGTAGATGGATGAGGGAGAAGAGAGCAATAGGTTTAAAGCAAACAGGGGGCTGGTCAGAGGGAAGGGACAGGAGGAGAGTGAAAAGAAGGAGGTGGGTGGGGCCAGGTGGGCAGGGATGGGGAAAGAGAAAAGCGTGGGCAAACCCAAGGAGAGAAAGATAGGCCAAGGGAGGAAAGAGAAGAGAAAAGAGACCGAGAGACGGATGAAGGAGAGGGGCAGAGAAAGGAAAGGGCGAAGTAAAAGAAAAAAGCATGTCACTGGGAGAGGAATGCAGAATGAGGCACAGGAGGAGCCTCTGGAGGCTGCCCGGGCTCCTGCCCTCACTCCCGCTCCAACATATGCCCCAGAGCCCTCACCACTCACCTTGTCGGCCGACTGTGAGGTGCCAAAGAAAATGGGGATGAAGGCAAGCCAGACGATGCAGGTGGTATACATAGTGAAGCCAATGGGCTTGGCCTCATTGAAGGTCTCGGGCACACCTCGAGTCTTGATGGCGTACACAGTGCACGTGACCATGAGCAGCATGCTGTAGCCCAGCAGGCAGATGAGGGACAGGTCCGAGATGTCACACTTGAGCACGCCCCTAGCGAAGCGGGGGTCGAGCGTCCGCTGGTCCTGGAAGTCCACCACCGAGTGGGAGGGGTCCACCACAAACCACACGCAGATGCCGAGCAGCTGCAGGGAGATGAGACTGAAAGTGATGGCCAGCTGTGAGGCCGGGCTGATGAAGCGTGGGGCGCTGACAGACCGCTTGCCCTGTTCGAAGATGCGGTAGATGCGGTTGGTCTTGGTGAGCAGGGCTGCATAGCTGATACTCATGCCCAGCCCCAGGAAGATGCGACGGAGTGAGCAGGTCCCCAGGTCCGGCTCAGCAATCATGAGGAAGGTGGTAGCATAGCACAGGAAGATGCCCGCCAGCAGCACGTAGCTCAGCTCTCGGCCTGAGGCCTTGACAATGGGCGTGTCATTGTAGCGCACAAAAGTGACCACCACAAACAGTGTGGCAGCGATGCCCACCACAGCCAGGAAGAGGGGCAGCACAGCCCAGGGCGAGTCCCACTCCAGTTTGATGATGGGGATGGGCCGGCAGCCGGTGCGGTTCTCTGTGGGCCGCATGTCGTAGGGGCAGGTCTTACAGGTGTAGCGGTCTACCTGGTACTGGTACCCTGTGCAGGGCTCACAATGCCAGCAGCAAGCCATGCCCTTCACTGTCTTCTTCCGCTCGCCTGGCTGGCAGGGCAGGCTGCAGATGGAGCGGGGCAGCTGCTGCCCACTCCCTGGCCACTGCATCCGCTCTATCTGGTAACGACAGCATGGCAGAGCTGGCCTCAGGACGTGCGCCAGCGCCCAGACCTGCCCTCTGGCTCCACTCCTGAATCAGCCTGTTACTCGGTCAACAGCCCAGTTGCCTGGGCCCTAACCAGAGCTCACTGACTGATGCCTAGAATCAGAAAACTTTCCCACGGGACCCAGACACCACTGGCCTAAGAAGAGTTCCAAGCTCTCAACCTCCTCTGGAGAAACTAAGTCCAAAGAGCTCAGAGGTGACACCTATGGTCACATGAAGCACTGAAAGGGAACCCAGGAGTCCTACTCCAGGGCAAACAGAATGTGGGGATCCTGAGCTCCAGACGCAAGGCCTGGAAACTGGCTTGCCAGGAGCAGGCTGGAAATAATCATTTCAACCCGTTCAGACCTCTGCCTGGAGAGTTTCAGCAACCCCTTCCCATGGGACTCCTCGGCACAGTGGAATGGGGGACTCTGCTCCCCAGCTCAGCCCCAAGCTTCTGCCCAGTGACACAGGGAGAGAAGTCATGCTCAGCAGAGAGCAACGAACAGAGATTTAATCAGAGGACACTTAACGTGTGACCAGGGGTTAGCATTCCTTTACATCTGGCTCCAAATGAGAGCTACTCACAGTTCTGGGGCTCTGAAGATACAATTTGCTGCGAGCAAAGGAGCCACAGGAGTGCCGTCACGCCTACCAAATGGGTTAGGCTATTGAGAAAAATAATCAAGTGTCCTAGAAGAGCTATGGGCGCTGGGCAAGGGAGCCCAATTAACCTGGGAAGCCCAGGTCAGAGGGAGTATTCCCACCAAGTGGCCAGCAGGTAGCGTTCCTTCTTAAGAGCAGCAAGTCTGGCTAGAAGGGACCCTGTGTATGTGTGTGTGCTGGGTGTGGGTAGGTGTGGGTGGGTGGGTGTGCATTCGTGGTACATGCATGCATGCATGGCTGGGTGTGTACAAGCATGTATGAATGCATGAGTGTGCCTGTGTCCATGTGTGCACGTGAGTGGGCATGCATGTGTATGCATATGTGTATATGCATGTGTGTATATGTGTGCATGTATCCATGTGCATGTGTTTGCTGAACGCTCACTCCTGCAGAAATGTGCCTGGCTGATGAGGCCGCACAGTGGGTTCCTCACCTGAGGGCAGTGGGGCGGGGGGGGGGGGCAGTGTTGGGCAAGATGGTACAAAACCTCCTTGAAGAGGCAGGTAGGAAGCCAGCTTGCCTCTTGCAGTGACTACCACAGGGACCATCACAGGAATACTGTTAAGTCCTCACTAGAACAACAGCTTCCAGAAGCTTTGTGCAACTGCTCTGCTAACTCCGCAGCCCCCAGGGTTCACCCATAACAGGGGTCCGGGGAGCTTCCCTGGAATTGATGGACGATACCCAGGCTCTGATGAGGTGGGACGCTTGTGCCAGAAGCCTTCATTCTCAGGTCCCTTCGGGTAGCCTGGAGGCCTGAGTCCTTTTCCCTCAGCTTCTAGAACGTTGACTGCTATGGCCCCCTCAGGACAGCCCAAACCTAGTCATTCAAGGAGACAGCTACAAGGTCCAGTCCCAACCCTCACCTTGCCACCATGACTCAGTCCCGCCTTACAGGCCAGAGACAGGATAGGCATCAGGAGGGTATCCAGGGCTGGGTCAGACTGGGGCTTGGGGATAGACAGACTGGAAGAGAGGGAAGCGGGGACTTTGAATCCACCCGCGCCTACCCCTGCCTTCAGGCTCTGCATCTGTGAAACTGTAACGGTACTGCATCACGGAGCCGCCAGCCACACACAGCAAGGGTGCAAAGTCAGAACTGCAGTACACATGCATGCGCTGTGCTGGAAACAGCCCTGACTGTGCAAAATGCGCCTTCATTGCTGGGTTCCTTCCATCACGCAAAGTGTGCCCACCCACCCTGATCTGCCTTCTCTCCAGCCAGCATCTAGGGAGCCTCATTACAGTAACAGGTCCTGTCCCTCTAAGAGTGTGTGGCTCAGTAGAGCTCCAGGGCTAGTGTCCTGAGACATGTGTTGCAGCTGGCAAGGCTCTGGGGCCACATGAGACCATGGGGGTCCATGCTAGGAAGGGCCGCAGGGGCTCTGTGCCTGGAGAGGATGCCAGGAGGTGACCAGGTAGCTCTCCAAGGTCCCGGAAGGAGAAGGGCTGGATCCAGGTTGGGACCTGGTCTCCTGAGTCCAGCCCTGCAAAATGTCACACACTGTGCCCACCAGAAGGACAACTCACCTTCACCCTTGCAGGGCAGAGATCAAGTCCCCAGGCGGACACTGCAGGTGCTTTCTCTCCAAGAAAGAACACCTATCCACAGCTGGGGACGTCACACTGAGGGCCAGAAGGAACGCTGCAGCACACCTCCCTACGTAAGCTGAGAAGCTGTGACCAGGCGTGCCCAGAAAGACGGCTGCCTTCAAGTGAGGTCTGAGGGGCTGGAGGCTTGTTCCCCAGCTCCCCAGGTGCTGTCTCCCGGGGCCCTCCCTGCCCTCCTGCTTACTCTGAGGTGCAGGTGGTCCGTCCAGGAGCCAATGACCTTGTATTCAGCAGAGCCATTTCGCAGCTGGTACTGGTAGATGTCATAACGCCCAGGTGCATCCCCATTCTCATTGAAGGTCACAGGGTTCCCTGCAATACCTGTGGGGGAGCAGGGAACTTTGCTGAGCCATGGATTCAAGACAGAGATATCTCAGGGTGACCCCTCCACAAAACATCTGAAGACTCTGCCATGCCCACCCTGAGAGCCCAGACCCTCTGTACCCTGCAACTGCATGACCCCAGTGCCCTGCTCCACACCCCCACCTGAGAAGTTGACGTTTCGGATGTACTTAAGCAGCTGGGTGCCATCAACAGGGTCCATGCGGGGGCACAGCCCCACGCGGCCTGGACACAGGTCTCGGTGCATGGCATGCAGTGCATGGCCCATGGCGTACACAGCGTCAATCACAAACTGCACCTTCCCCTCCTGCTCATAGGCCGAGTCCTGCCCGATGCGCTCTCGGTCTGTGAAGGGACAGGCACCTGTGAGGCCTATTGAGCTCAGTAGGGTGGTGGGAGACTGAGCCTGCCCAGCGCTGGACACTCCAAGTCCCCTGATTCAAAGCCCTGTGCCTATCCTACTTCCCTGATATGTGTATGGAGGGGGTGCTCCAATGGATGTCTAACAGGTGACTCCAGGGGGTAAAAGAGAGAGTCCACCACCCTCCACTGTAGTCCACAAGGCCCCAAACAGCCAGAACAAGCCCCTTGACTCTGCCGCCTTCAGCAGGCAGCTGTGTGATGCCCTTGGGGCTGCAGTGTCTGTTGGTCCTCTCCCACATGGCCTGGGGTTGTCCATAGACAAGGAGACAGCCAGGACAGAGGCTATGTCTCTCCTGAGGGTTGTGATAGCCCTAAAGCAGGTCACCACAGGCAGCCATTCCAGCCAGAACACAACACCCTCTCCCTAGGGTACAGGTGAAGAATGGAGGACTGGCTTCCTGATGCCCTCAATGGCTTCTACTTATCCAACACCAGAAATTACCACCATCCCTATTTTCTCATCCCCTACCTCACCAAGAACCTTCCCAGAAGCCAGGGTGAGTGAGCTTCACAAACAGGAACCCACCCACGGCCTTCTCACTACAGGCTGCGGCACCCTCCCGCTTGCCCATGTGCCTCCCACGTGCCATCTTCAAGATATCGGCTGCACTTGTACACCACCATAGCTCAGCATGTGAACTGTTGAAGTTCCCTCATAGAAGGGAGGCATGCGGATGGTCATTTGCCCCTCACCTGAGTGTCCATTCCAGCCGCTTGTATGCAATTCTGTCCTAACTGTATGTGGCCTTGGGGTCTTGGGGGAACGCTAGAGTAAATAAGCTGGGGTGGACTGTGGGGGAAAAGAGGCTCCATATATGGTCACGGGGCAGACATCCATGCTGGGTGCAGACCTTCCAGGACAGCTGCTTTAGGGTTGCCCATACTCCTGGCCGTCACCCCTCACCCATGTTCTATAGCTAACCCCAATAATCTCACCAATTCCCCTGGGTGAACTTTGGTGGAACTGAGTTTTGGCTTGTCCCTTATGAGGAGGGGGTAAATGTTGTTTATACCTCTCCAGAGAAGGGGTTCCCACCACATTCCCTTTGGTGATCACCAAGGCCCTGCTCAGTGGCCCCATGCGAGCTCCTTGGCTGCCAGAGGCCTGAATGCCCTTTAGAGTAGGTAGGGGTCCACTGATCCTGCTTAGACAGGCCGTGGAGGCTGCAGGGAGGTGAAGCGTGGGCAGCTGACTGGATCATGTCCTCTGGGTATGAGTAGTCAGAATGGGGGCTTCTGAGGCCACAGCAGCCGGGAAGTCATCCTGGAGGCAGCAGCTCCTGGCCGGGCCCTGCGTGACAGTGACAGTAAGGAAGCAGCATCTGTGGAGCCTGTGTGTCCTGGGCCCTGTGGATCGATTCACTGAATTCTCAGCTCACTGACGTGAATAATTACCCCCATTGCAGCGATGGAGAGACTGAGGCACAGACACACTGGGCAAGGGGGTGATATTCAGGACCCTGCAGAGCAGAAGCTGGACACAGGTATTCCAGTCCACCACCCTGCACACTGCCAGCCTGGAGTCAGAACAAGGACAAAGGTTCTCAGTCCCACTCCAAACTGTGCCTCCCTACCAGAGAGCAGGAGCCCTCTATGTTGTGGAGTACAGTCTGAAGATGACAGGGAAAACAGGTGGGTAGGAGCCAGGTGGACTAGGTCTGCACTAGGCCCCCATTCCCTGGAAGCTCCAGAGAGCAGTATGTCCTTCTCCCTGCCTAGAACACCTCAGAGACAGATCTGGGATTGGAGGAGCTCATTGCCCACCCCCACCCCTGTGGGGTGTACCTCATCACTTAAAACCCCCATACCAAGAAGGACAGTCTCCAGGAGATGGGGTTGATGGACTGTGGCATCTGTCACCCACAACTGGGCCGGTTGCCTAGTTGGCCCTGCCGGTCAGGAACCCATCCTCAACCAAGCCAGGGTGAGTGTCCACATGTGGCCTAGTGGGCATTAGAGATCCCAGCACAGCCATGCTGAGACATGTTACAGATGAGAAAACAGACCAGGAGAAGGGAGTCCCAGCCACTGGCAGGACAGGGCATTGGGATGGCGGGGTGAGCACGCCAACCTCCAGGGCCACCCTGCACCCCTCCCCTACCACACTCGGCCCAGGGCCTCATCTGAGCCTCAGCACCAGATTTGCTAATAGCACCGTCAGTTCTAGGTCACGAGGCAAACAACCAGAGCAGCAAAACACAGATTCTCCATTTTGTCGGTCTAGCCTTCTTGTCTGAGCCCTCTGCCATGGGGCACTAAAAACCCAGAAGGGGAGAGAAGAGGCAACTTGTTCCCAAAGGGCAACAGAGGGGCTGGGCAGGATTTCCCAAAAGCCTCTTTGAACCAGGACTCAACATCCCAGCCGGAACCCCACCTGGGCCCTGCACCCCACTCTCTCACAGCTCTCAACCCCCGCCCCTGTGCCTCATGGCGCATCCGAAGAGAGGCAAATTACTGGGGAGGGATGCGGGAACAGAGCAGGAGGCTGTTGCTGCTTCCCAGAAGGCAGTTTTCACCCACAGCCAAGGACACCTTGGGGTCAGGAGGCTGGCTGCTCCACTGATGAGACACCCTAGGGTCTCTCCTGTTCCTGGCTCCCAGGGAACCATCCTCACAGAACCTCAACAGAACATCAGATCCTGGGTCATTGTGTGTGCTCCCACTTAGACTCACAAGCCACCAGAGAAAAGGATGCTAGGGGCCTGAACACCTCCCCCGCACCAGGAACTACCTTAGCCCATCTCCGCTGGGGTGGCTCTGGGAGGGCTTTGGGTGCAGTCTTGTGCCCAGCCCTCCCAACTCTCCAACTATCAACATCGGGACTGGCCACAGGATCCTGAAGCCTCCTCAGTGTTCTGGCCCAGCTATGGGTGAGATGTAGTAAGTTGCCCTATCAAGGGTGAGCCAGGCCCCTGTGTGTGGCTCCTGCTCATTCTCTCCTTCCCTGCTTCCCCAGCCTTGAACTCCAGACCCAGCATCCTGTAGCCCCCAGAAGGCAATAGTAACAAGCCAGAGTGCCCACCCATGGGACAGGGATTTGAACCATAATCTCTTGCTGCAAGAGTCTCCATGCCCAGAATAGCAGGTGCAGGGAGCTCCCACTGTCCCCGCCCTGCCCTGGGGCCTAGGCTGTCACTATGTCTGGCCAGGTCTAAGATAGCATTAGGGACACCCTGTAGGTCTCCAGCAGGGCTGTGACAGGAAAAGGAAAAGATCAATGTCCCCTCTCATAGATGAGTAGACCCCAGGGCCAGACAAGGCCCACAGCTCTGGGAGGAGGCCAGACACACGTGCTGGAGGAGATAAATTCCAGACACACGGTGCGGTGACAGCAGCAACAGTTTGAAGATGTCCTAATTGTGTCCTGGGGCACCGTGAGGCAGAGATGCGTTTGGCTCAGCCACGGGTGACAGGCAGCTGGGACAACAGGGAGGATTTTCTCCCTCAAAGCCTGGAGCGGTGGTTACTGCGGAGATAGCAGCCTTTGTGTCCAGGTTGTAAACTGTAATCGGAATGAGTTTTCAAGGTTGAAATAATCAGAGTCCATGGATCCTCTCCACTCTCTCACATGCCGCACCCAACTACCATCCCAAGTGCCCACTCCTGTAGACACCCGCAGGCCTGAGCCGGCTCCCTTGCCAGCCTTGGACACACAGACTCACACACATACATATATACCACACATACATGCTCAGACACAAGCATCTGTATAGACACACATCCAATACATACACAGCTACATATTTAACACACCCCACTTACAGATCACTCAGGGCCACCACGTCCAGGGCCAGGCCATCCCACAAGGAGATGCTGATAACTCAGAGGGTACCTCATCTTGTCTTCTTAGGTCAGCCAAGCTCCCTGTCTGACTCCACACTTGTTTCTAAGTTTTTGTTTAGTTGGTTAATTTGGTTTTGTTTTTGCTTGAGTCAGGGGCTCACTCTGTAGTCCAAGCTAGCCTAAAACTCACACTGTAGCTCAGGCCAGCTCAAACACCTCCTGCCTCAGTCTCCCAAGTGCTGGGATTACAGATGTGCACCACCATGCCCAGAAGGTGCAGGTATCTTAGTGGGAAGGATTCCACGGTGTGTGCGTGCGTGCGTGCGTGCGTGCGTGCATGCGTGTGTGTGTGTGTGTGTGTGTGAGAACTGCAGATGTCAAGAGTAGGGGACACAGAGGGCTGACAACAGAAAGCGAGTGTGTGGGCTCTGTCTTCCTGAGGACTCCCAGGACATTGGGGGGTACCTGTGAAAGTACCTGCCCACTGCAGAGATCCTACCTCTCTGAGGTCACTGAGGACCCAGGATGGCTGAGTCCAATGGGCGTGCTATCCTCCCCTCAAGCCACACCATTGTGAGGCCACTCCCTCCCAAAGACTCCCCATTATTTCTGGGACACCACCACACCCCCTCCTCTCCTTGCCCCCAACAGGCCCTGCACCTTAGTCCTGTGCATCTCCAAATCTACTCCCCTGGTCATTGCATCCAGACCAGTCTGTTTGCTGACACCTCCCTGTGTTCCTAGACCAGGTTCCCACCTTTCCTCCCAGCCCATTTCTCCTGCATTTTCCCCACTCACACAAACAGCATCCATCCAGTGCTGTCTTAACTTCTTGTCCTCTTCCTCTAGCCTTAAGTCTGTAGCCACACTGAAAATCTGCCAAGAACTGACCCCTGCTCACCTCAGACCCAGACCCAGACTCCCAGCTGGCCTCCCCAGGCCCCTTGCCATCTCTACCAGCCTCTTTCTCATACAGCAGGCAGAGGGGGCAGTTAGAATAGCAATTGGATCCCACCATCTGTTCATGACACAGTAGTTTTATCTCAAAGACCTTACTAACTGCCACATGATCTTGGCTACCCCACCCCACCTCTCCAACCTTATCTCCCACCTTTTGTTCTGCCTATGGGTCCTCTTGC